TCCCCTTATGCATAACTGGATATTTTTCTCTTGTTGCTTTTAAGGTTCTCTTTATCTTTAACTTGGCATTTTAGTTAATGTGTCTTGGTGTGGATCTCTTTGGGTTCCATCTTGTCTGGGTTGCTTTATGTTCCTAAACATGGATGTCTGGTTCCTTCTCCAGATTAGAAAAGTTTTCAGCCATTATTTCTTCAAATAGGTTTTCTGTCTCTTTCTTTCTCTTCTCCTCCTTGGCCCCCCATAATGCAAATGTTAGTTTTCTTGATGTTGTCTCAGACATCTCTTAAACTATTCTCCTTTTTTTAATTCTTTTTTTCCTTTACTGCTTTAGTTGGGTGATTCCATGTCTTCTAGATTGCTAATCTATCTTCTAATGTGCTGTCGTTTTCTCTAGTTTATTTTTCATTTTTGTTACTGTATTTTTTAGTTGTAATTGGTTCTTTCTTATATTTTCTTTTTGTTGAAGTTCTCACTATGTTCACCCATTCTTCTCCCAAGTTTGGTGAACATCTTTAGGACTATTGTTTTGAACTCTTTACTTAGTAAATTGCTTATCTCTGTTTTTCTTAGTTCTTTTTCTGAGATTTGTCTTGTTCTTTCTTTTGGAATGCACTCTTCAGTCTTTTCACTTTGCCCTAACTCTTTGTGTTTGTCTTTATGTATCAGGTGTATTGTCTGCATATCCTGGTCTTGAAAAAGTGGCCTTATGTAGATGGTGTCCTGTGGGGCCCATGGGCACAGTACCCCTGGGTCACTGGACCCAGGTGCTCTAAAGGTGTGCCCTGTGTGGGCTGTGTGCACCCTCCTGTCGTGATTCAGCTGCTGTTGCTGTAGGCATGCTGGTGGGTGGGGTTGGCTCCCAGACCAGCTGGCTGTGTGGCTTGCCAGCAACTGCTGTAGACACCCTGGTGAGTGGGGTTGGTCCCTCACTTGACTGTCTAGTTTTTTGGTCATGAATATTTGGATGCTCCGGCATGGTGGTTGATCCTCTGGAGTGGGAGCCACCTTGGAGAGATGCTTGTGCTGGTTGAAGCCTCTCACGCAGATGGGGTAGACCTAGCTCTCTAGAGTGGGAGCTGCCTTGGAGGTGCTGGCTGGGTTGAGTGGGTTGGTTCTCAGGGGAACACTGGGTGTGCAGTGTTAGCTAGGCTGATGGAGAGTGACAGAAATGGCACCTGCCAGTGCAGGGCCAGCTAGGTGGAGGATAAGTTAAAAGGGAAGAGGGGGGCCTCCTAGTGCTACTGTCCCTGGAGAAAGTTCCCCCAGATTCCTGTCCCTCTGAGTTACATGCCTTAAAATTAGTCAGTGAATCTTCTTGTATTGTTCAGGTGTTTTTTAATGTGTTGCCTCTGCACTGGGACTTAGAGTGAATTTGTGCAGGAGGAGCCCTTCAAGAGTGGAGTCTTGATTTCCCACAGCTTTCTGGCTCTCTTGGATGTAAGCCCCACTGATTTTCAAAGCTAGACATTATAAGGGCTTGTCTTCCAGGTGTAGGTACCCCAGGCTGTGGAGCCTGACGTGAGGCTGGGACCCTTTAGACAACAAGGGGAACCTCTATGGCTGTGACATCCATTCCAGTCGTGAATTGCCACGCAGGGGTGTGGGTTCTGACTGGAGCATGTCTCTGCTCCTCCTACCTGTCTTAATGTAGCCTTTTCTTTATATCCTTAGTTTTAAAAATCTGTTCTGCTATTCTTCAGGTCATTCTCAGAGATAGTTGTTCTGTATGTAGTTCTAGTTTTGGTGTGTTTGTGGAAAGAGGTGAGTTCAATATCTTCCTACTTCACCATCTTGATCTGGACCCTGCCCCCCCCCCCGGCCTCCTCATACTTATTCTTAACATCTCAGTTTAGACATCACTTGTCCAGGAAGCTTTACATGACAGCCTACATCCAGATCAGATGTTCTTCCTGTGGACTCCCCAGCACATGCCAGCGAATGTTTATGACATTCTGTTGTAAGTGCCTGTTACTTTCGCTGTCTTCCTCACTAGCTGATAAGCTACACAAAGTAAGGAATATTGTCTCTTTTACCTATAGCTGCTTTTACAGTAACTAGCACAGTGGGTGGCACGAGGTAGGTATTCAGTAGGTATTTGTAAAATGAATGAGTAAATAAATGATTGAAATTTCACAAGCAGAAAATTCCAAGATGATAAAAGCCATAGTGTAGATACGGGTCTGTGTGGCAGAAGAGAGGTGGAGCTGAAAGGCACCAGAATTGAAAAGGCTGAGGGTTTGTCTGCCTTGTTGGTGTCTGGAGGGATTGAAGTTGTTCAGGATGATAGTGAGTCATGAGGTGGAATAGAAAGATCACGAGCCACAGCCAAGGTCTTCTGTGACAGTGAGCACACCCGGAGGTCAACAGATCAGAGATGAGAAGAGGGTAAATGGTGCAATAGCCAGAATCTTCAGAGTGTCAAAGAAGGAAGGAATTTTGTGCAAACACGAAGGGATATTTTTCACACCAGAAACATTTTTCCTGTCCATACAAAACTCTCGGATTGTCTTCAAACCCCATCTCTAGCATATATTTACTGTCCTTAATAATAGCTTTAATACTGGACCCCAAAGATGATAGTGTGTGGTGAATGTTTTCCATTGTTGCCTTTCAGGTTTTCATTCCCAAGTTCTGACTCCAAACCTGCCGCTCCTTTTATTGAGACTGCCAGCCCATCATAATGTCTTTGAAAACAACCACAATGCCTCCTACAGCAATTGTTTCCTCCCTGGAGAGAAAAAGCCATGTTTTTAACCTTAGCTTTCAAAGTATGCTCTGACTGGCTCATTTTTTTTCTTTTAATACTCTCTTCAAAATCCAGTTTTTCTAATGCTCTGTGGCTCAAACTGAATGACTTATTTTCAGAGATGTGAATTACTGCAAACAGGTCTCTTGGGTTCATCCTAGTGAAATCAATTATAGGGCATTTTTACCATGTGACGTCCTGCCAGGCAGTGTTTTGTATCCCTTTTTATTTAGATCATCCCAGTGAATCTTTATACAGTGGTTCCCTTCTCTTGCCCTTCTCTGCCAGAGGTTTCCTTTTGTTGTCCCTGCCTTCTCAGCTCCTGTAGCTGGGAGGAAGGGCACGGTGGGGAAATTGGACATACCGGTTTCTTTTCTTCCCTCACATTCATCCCTACTTTTCTTCTCTGACTTCTCCCATTTCCATTCTTCAGTTGTGTCTTGCTGGCCACTTTTAAGAGGCTGACACATAGGCTCTTGAGACACTAGTCTCACTCTGAAGGACTCCAGAGTGTAGACCTTTGATTTCTGATGCCACAGAAGAGGCTCCTCCCACCTTGACTCCCCCCACCCCACACCTGCATGCTTTGACCAGACCCCTCGCTCACAGTCATCACTGTCTTCCACTCTCCCATTTCTTGCTCTTCACTTAGGTCTGCTGCCGCATCCCCAGAGGTCACTCATTCTGCTGAAGGACATACATTTCCACTCCCTGAGACCACAACGTGATTTGGATAACAGTTTGATTAGAGGTTGAGGGAAGGAAGGCCTTTGAAAATGAACTCTATGAAGCCATTTAACTGATTTGAGGCTGGCTAGCAGACTATAATGCATAAAATGGTGCTGTCTAAATTAGTGACATGTGACTATCATACAGTATTGACAGAAAAGTGGTTCTCATGAATTCAGATGGTTGTCTCCTTTGACCTAGAAGGCAGCTTCAGTGCAAGCATGAGAAAGGAGAGAGAAATTAAACCAGCCTCTGGTAACCCCTGGGTGACAGCTGCTACTGATAGATCATGCTTCTGTCTGAGTAGGAGTAGAATTTCCTCTCACAAAACCAGACAGGAACAATAGTAATATAAATGGTAGCCTGCAGCCCACTTTCTCCTCTTGATGTTGTAAAAAGGCTCAAGTTGAAAAGAAAAAAACCCAGAAGTCTGGAGTTGTCTTTGTGCTGACAGTTTTTCCCTCAGTACTAGGAGACCCAACTACATTCTCCTTGATCTTTCCACCTTCTGCCTTTGTAGGAGGTCAAAGGAGACTACACAGTCTTTCTTAACCATATTTCCCTCTTAGAAACTCCTTTCTAAGGAAGACTGAGAGCCCCAGGCCTCTGTTTGCTGCTGGCTCTGATGCTTCTCTCCAAAATGAGAAACAGACAGAGGGAAAGGTCAGAAGGAGAGCTCTTCCGGTTCAGGATGAATTCCTGTAGAGCATGAGCAAACCCACGCCCACTCTCTACTCCACGGTGAGGATGTGGGCCTCTAAAGGCTGCCTGTGTTCCCACAGTGGGAGGGAGCCAGGGCAGATGTGAGTTTTCTTCGCGCTTTCTACAGCCCACTAGGTAGGTGGGGAAACTACTGTTACACAATTTTAGAAATGAAGTGGCAGCGAAGCCTGCTCATGTGTCCGGCTAGAGGCATCGGCAACACATCAAAGATGCAACCGAGCCTAGGCCCCAAGTCTTCCTTCTCTTGGTTTAAGTTGCCTCTCCCAAGCCTCCATTCTTGGGCAGAAGCCATATTAGTCTGAATGAAAAGAAGCTACATTTAAAAAAATTCTGAGCATGTCATTTGTCCTCCAGTCACTGAATGGATGCGTTTATCTAATCTGTGCACACAGAGCTCTGACTTCATCGTGGTTTGCTAGACTCACCTTCCAGGGCTTTGTGGTCGATATGCAATGCCATTTTGCTGGTTTGTGCTTTGCCCATGTTTTGGAGCAAGCTTAATTATGCAAATGCATCTGATAATAGATTATTCATTTTAGTCATGCTCAGTTATTTATTTTTCACGCGTGGCCCCGGATGACTTGAACAGAGCTCAGTAACAGCTCATCTCATATCTAGCAAGAAGACACAGGAAAGGATATAATTCTGACGGAGGTCAACTGCTCTTCTGGGCATCAAGCTGCTTCAGGAAAAATCACGTGTGAGGCAAGGCCAGCTATTTCTAGGGAAGATGCCAGCTGTTAGTGCATATCTGTTATTCCCAGACTGAGAGGCCATTTCATGGGACAGGAGGAGCAGTGACACTTGGAGGCAGTAAGACATCACTTGAAATTATGGGTTGAAGGTGAATGGAAAGAAACCTGTTTGGTTACTTCCACTGGTTCCTAAACTGCAGCATTTCCCCATTTGTGCCACTGGTACCTTTCGGGATAATAAAAAGGAGTCTGGAGGGAAGGCAATAAACTGGAAATAGATATGCTGGGTGTTTCGTCCTCCTTAGAAGAAAGTAAGTGAAAATAATGCTAGTGAGAAGAAATAGAAAGGCTGGCTCTCTTTAACGCTTCCATTTTCCCATATGTGCCATGATCTTACACAGGACACTGGCATATTTAAGAGGACTTGACTTTGCCCCTTGAACTTGGCTCACAGGGGCTCATCCTCTAGGTGTCAGTTTATTACTTCACCCAAGAAGTCTTCTCTGAACACTTTACCTCCATCCTCAACCCCAGAATAGGTGATGCACTCCCGTAAGATTTCTTAGAATCAGGTACATTGCTTGTCAGGCTACTTATTTCATTTAACGGGATTACTTGTTTAATTGTATGGCTCCCGATCTATGAAGGTGAAGACCATGGTTACGCTCCCTAGTGGGAGCGTAACTCAGTGCTTGAGAGAGGGGAGCCACTTAATCTTTACTGAATAAAATAATAAATGATTAGCTGATAGGAAGTTGTGATAGGGGTTCGGGTATCTGTCGTTCTGTTTGTTGCTCATTCTCTTCTCCTCCCACTGCCTGCACCTAACACGTAAGTTCTGTGAGGTTAGAGATTTCATCTGTTGTATCCGTTAATTTTGCCAAGGCCTAGAACAGGGCCTGGCATGCAGTGGGTGCCTTTTAATAAATATTTATTCATTGAACCACTCACTCCCAGATAAAGACTAAGGAGCGTTAAGGGAAAGGGAATCTGCAGGAGGAGGCATCCACTTAGTTTTCTATCCTGATTCTACTGCCTCTTCTGTCACCTCGCCGACTGCCGTTATTCTCCCCTTTCCTCTCCTTTAGTTGTCCTTTGTCTAGAGTAACCTTACTGCTCAGTCTCTACACCACTCCTGCCCCCACCTCTGCCCCACTGCTGCTTTTCTGTCCAAGAACTCCACGCTCAGTCCACATCCAGCTTCCCTAATAAATGCTTATACACCAGATGATTTAACTATTAAAATCCTCCATTTCCTTTTGGTTCTTCACTCAAGGAACCTATCCTACTGCAGTGCTTGAGTTCTTTATGACCTGGCTGAATAATTTCCTCAAACTTTCTGTGGGGTGGGGGGAAGGTGATTGAGACCTATCTTAGTAAATAGTAGATCACTTTATTCTTTCTAAAGCATTTTTGAATGGGTTAGTCTCAGCTAGTCTATACAACATCCCATATGAAGTAGACCAAGGGTGGAAATGGTATCAAATTTGGAGATGAGAAAACCAAGGTACAGAAAAGTTGATGGTGGTTCTAAAGCTACAAGAGGTGGTGAAGGTAAAACCTGGATGTGAATCCAGACTTTTCCTTCTTGGTAACATATGACTCTGTAGAGAAGACTCTGTTGGGATGAGAAACAAATCACTGCTTGAGTCTAGGCCACAAACTCAATTGTGACCATATTTGCAAAACAAACTAGGAAGCTAAGTCTGTATCACTAGTCAAATTTTGATAGTAAAAAAAAAAAAAAAGAAAAACTGAAAGCTGCCATTTGGAATTTAGTACTGTACTATTCACCAAATTCTAGCCACGAAGGGAAAGAAAAATACCACTTTTGAACAACTTGGCATTTTCCCGTTTTAAGTAGAATCTAATACATCATAGGCCTGATGACATTTTAAGAGTTTCAAGTCTGTAGTGGCTGTCATGACATGAATCATTCAAACGGAGGCCACCTTCCTGAGCAGTGACTCACAGTAAATAGCTTGAAGAGAGAAAAACATATTTTCCCATCGTTCAAATGAAACAAACCTACCAAAGCCATGACTACCTTCCAGAAGGCTGGGTGATTCTGTTGTGTCCACGACAGAAGCGTATTCTTAAGGAGCGTTCACCAAATGAAGAATGCGGACCTCTGAAGGTCAGTCCCTTATCCATCACTAACGAAAAGTATGACCCCAGGTAGGGCTTTCCAATTCTCCTTGCCTCAGCGTAAAATGGGAGAGTGAGAGGTCCTTCTGGGTCTGAGAACTGCTGATTTGGGGTCATCTTGCTGCAGTACTGGAGCTGTTACTGATGCCAGGTATTTTCTTACCCACCGAGAGAAGCTGTGACACCAAGTAAGGACAGCTCGGAGCGTGGCAGGAGGGTGAGTTGTTTCTGGTTCAACTACAGCTGTTACTAAGAGAGATAGAAGACACACAGTTACCACTTGGATGGTAAATGCTTTGATTTGCACCAGGATGTTTCTGTTCCTTGAAGAGAATCATTAGGCTCTTACTTACCTAGTAGTATCTTCCATGAAAACCTTTGTCATGGCAAAGGAAAGCACAGTAGCCAGTAGTTTGATTGCTCTTCTGTGTGCTTTGTTATGATGATTCCTGGATTCCAGCGTCGTCCCTTTCCCTGAGATAAGGAGAAATTGGGACGCCAGAGAGGATCTGTTTTATCTGTGGCAGGGACGTGATGGGGGCAGTCACTGGTGTGAGGGATGACTTTGGTCTCTTAACTGCTCATTGGATGATAGCAGAGAATATTCCTCTAGATCCAGGTACTCATTATTTGTCCTTCCAGATATGCTTAAAGCATTGTTCTGCTTAGGCCAGTATAGCTCTTTGATGGAGGCTTTCATTTATCAGTGGATAACTTTTTCCTTAGGGTCAAATTTTTCTGGGAGTGGAGGTTTGGGAGTTCTAACATTATATATACATATAAAGTACAGTCAGTTTACAATGTGTCAGCTTCTATGTACAGCACAGTGCTTCAGTCATACATGAACATATGTAAATTCGTTTTCATATTTTTTCACCATAAGTTACTACCAGATACCAAATATAGTTCCCTGTGCCATACAGCATGAACTTGTTGTGTATCTATTCTATATATATCAGAATCTGCAAATCTCAGACTCCCAATTTATCCCTTCCTACCCTTCTCCTCCCCTGGTAACCACAAGTTTGTTCTCTGAGAGTCTTTGTTTTGCAAATAAGTTCGTTTGTCTTTTTTTTTTTAGGTTCCACATATAAGTGATACCATATAGTATTTTTTGTTCTCTTTCTGGCTTATTTCATTTAGAATGACAGTCTCTAGGTCCACCCATGTTGCTTCAAGTGGCATTATTTTATTATTTTTTATGGCTGAGTAGCATTCCATTGTATAAATATACCACAACTTCTTTATCCAGTCATCTGTTGATGGACACTTAGGTTGCTTCCATGTCTTGGCTATTGTAAATAGTGCTGCTGTGAAAATTGGGGTGCATGTATCTCTTTGAATTAAGGTTCCCTCTGGATATATATGCCCAGGAGTGGGATGGCTGGCTCATATGATATAAGTCTATTTTTAGTCTTCTGAGGAATCTCCATACTGTTTTTCATAGTGGCTGCACCAAACTACATTCCCACCAACAAGGTAGGAGGGTTCTCTCTTTTAAATTCCCACTTTTTCAACCAGTAACATGCAAGTGCTTTAAAGATTTAAATTATTCTATCAGGTACATACTCATAACTAATTCCCTTATAACCTAATTAAACGCATTGAATTTGAATAGTCGTATAATTCTTGTCAATACACAATTCAAGCCACTGTTGCAAAATAAGTTGTTTACAGCTGTGGAAGCCAGTTGCCTAATGAAACCATCGCCGGGAGGCCTCACAGTATTTTCTATCAGGGATAGGCCTGTCCTCCCAGGGAATTTGTCAGGGCTGCCCAGGACAGACAGTTCCAGGGGTTCTTGTGGTGCTTTCAATGGTCCTAGGTTTGGATGCAGCAAATGCTAACAGAATCATGGTATGTATGTGGGGTGTGAGAGAGTCAGGGCTGATCATAGTGGCTTCTAGTGCTGTATTTCTGAAAAACATTACGGTAAAGTAGACATAACCCATTTTAACCATTTTTAAATGTACAACTCAGTGGCATTAAGTACTTCACAAAACTATTTTCTGTCACCACTATCTATTTTCAGAACTTTTTCATCATCCCATACAGACACTCTATGATCATTAAACAATACCTTCCTCTTCCCTCTGCTGGTATCCTCTGTTCTACCTTCTGTCTCTCTGAATTTGCCTATTTTAAATATCATATATAAGCAGAGTCATGCAATATTTGTCATTTCGTGTCTGGCTTATTTCATTAGCATGTTTTCAAGGTAGCCATGTCATAGTATCTATCAGAATTTCTTTTTTATGGCTAAATAATATTCCATTATATAGATATGCTCCATTTGTCTGTTGATGGAGAGTTGGGTTATTGCCTTTTTCTGTTGTGAATAATGTTGCTACAAACATTGGTGTGCAAGTATCTCAAGTCTCTGCTTTCATTTCTTTTGGGCATGTACTCAGAAGTGGAATTTCTGGATCATACAGTAATTATGTTTAACTTTTAACTTTTTTTAATTGAGTCATAGTCATTTTACAATGTTGTGTCAAATTCCAGTGTAGAGCACAATTTTTCAGTTATACATGAACATACATATATTCATTGTTGCATTTTTTTCACTGTGATATGTTTAACTTTTTGAGGGACCACAAAACTGTTTTCCATGTAAAAACTGTTTTCCATGTAGGTTGCACCATTATATATTACTATCAGATGGGCATGAGGGTTCCAGTTATTCCACATCCTGGCCAACACTTACCTTCTATTTTGTTGTTGTTGTGTTTTGATACTAGCAATGCTAGTGGTATGAAGTGGTATCTCAGTGTGGTAGTGCTGTATGTTTGATAGAGCAAGTGAAGCAAGGAATAGGAAGAATTTGCTTGTAATTTAACCATTGACTGTATCCCAGAATTTGCAAGTTCTGCGGTCCATGTAAAGCAAGTTACTTGGAGATTTCTCAAGATGGCAGAGTAGGAAGATACTGAGCTCACCTCCTCTCATGGACACACCAAAATTACACTATTTACAGAGAAAATACTGATGAGAAGGACCAAAAAAACCTTCTACAACTAAATTTTATAAAGGAACCACAATGGAGAAGGGTTGTAGAGGCAGAGTCAAGACCCATACCCCTGGGGGAGGTGACCCACAAATGAGAGTATCACTATGATTGCAGAGGCTCTCCCCAAGGAGTGAGGGATCTGAGCCCCACCTCTGGCTCCCCAGCCTGGGGATCCTGCACCAGAGGAGGAGGACGAGCTCCCCGAATGTTTGGCTTTGAAGGCCAGCAAGTCTTCCCTTCAGGACACCCAGAGGGCTGTGGGAAATAGAGACTCTATTCTTAAAGGGCACACACAGAATCACATATGCTCTAGGACCCAGAGCAGAAGCAGTGATTTGAAGCGAGCCTGGGTCAGACCCACCTGCTGTCTTGGAGCGTCTCCAGAGAGGCAGGAAGCAACTGCAGCTCACCCTGGGGACGTAGATGCTGGTGGTGGTAATTTGGGGGAGCTTGTTCTTCCATGTGGACACTGGTGCTGCCTAGTGTGGAATCATTTAGAATCCTCTGTCTAGCTTATTAGCCTTAGGACCCAGACCCACCCCTGCCCATCAGCCTGTAGGCACCACTACTGGGATGCCTCAGGACAAGCAACCATCACCTTTTGCAGATGACATCATACTATACACAGAAAATCCTACTAAAGCTCATCGATGGATTCAGTAAAGTTGTAGGATATAATAATATAGAGAAATCTGTTTCATTTCTTTACACTAAGAAAGAGAAGTTAAGGAAACAATCCATTTATAATTGCATCAGAAAGAATAAAATATCTAGGAATAAGTCTAAGGAGGTAAAAGACCTGTACTTGGAAAACTGTAAGACATTAATGAAAGAAATTGAAGATGACACAGATGGAAAGATGTACTGTGTTTATGAATTGGAAGAATTATTAAAATGACCATACTACCCAAGGAAATCTATGGATTCAATACAATCCCTATGAAAAATTCCAATTGCATTTTTCACAGAACTAGAACAGGTAATTTTTAAAAATTGTATGGAAATACAGAAGACCCTCAATAGCCAAAACAATCTTGAGAAAGAAGAACAGAGCCAGAGATACCATGCTCCCAGACTTCAGACTCTACTATAAAACTACAGTGATCAAAGGAATAGGATAAAGAACCCAAAAATAAACCTACACAATTATGACAAAAGAGGCAAGAATATCCAATAGAGAAAGACAGTCTCTTCAATAAATGATGTTGGAAAAGCTTTTACAGCTACATGTAAAAGAATGAAATTAGAACATTTTCTTACATCATATACGGAAGTAAACTCAAACTGGATTAAAGACCTAAATGTTAGACCAGAAACCATAAAACTACTAAAAGAAAACATAGGCACAACACTCTTTGACATAAATCATAGCAATGTTTTGGATCTGTCTCTTAAGGCAAGGGAAACAAAAGCAAAAATAAACAAATGAGACCTAATTAAACTTAAAAGTTTTTGCACAACTAAGGAAACCACTGACAAAATGAAAAGACAATCTAAATGGGAAAAAAGTATTTGCAAATGACATGACAGATTAGGGGTGAATGTGGAAAATATATAAATCTCATACAACTCAATATGAAAAATAGAAACAACCCAGTTAAAAAATGGGTGGAGGACTTGAATAGACATTTTCTCAAAGAAGACGTACAGATGGCCAATAGGCACATGAAAAGATGCTCAGTACTGCCAATACGAGAGACATGCAAACCAAAACCACAATGAGATATTACCTCACATCTTTCAGAATGGCTATCATCAAAAATACCACAAATAATACATGTTGGTGAGGATGTGGGGAAAAAGAACCCTGTAGACTGTTGGTAGGAATGTAATTTGGTGCAGCCACTATGGAAAACAGTTTATGGAGGTACCTCAAAAAACTAAAACTCAAACTACCCTAACATCTAGCAACCCCACTCCTGGGTATATATATCCAAAGAAAATGAAAACACTAATTTGAAAAAATAAACGCACCCCAACATTCATAGCATTATTTTTACAATAGCCAAGATGTCCATCAACAGATGAAAGGATAAGGGAGATGTGATATACCTATACACTGGAATACTACTCAGCCATAAATAGAGTGAAATTTTGCCATCTGCAACAACATGAATGGACCTGGAGGGTATTATGCTTAGGGCAGTAAGTCAGACAAAGAAATGAATACAACAAAACAGAAACAGGCTTACATATATGAGTAGAGAGAGGGAAGGGGGATGAATAAGATAGTGGTAGAGGATTAAAAAACAAAATGTATAAAATAAATAAGCTATAAGGATATATGGGTACAGTACAGAGAATATAGCCAGTATTTTATAACTTTAAGTGGAGTATTATTTACAAAATTCTGAAACAATTGTATACCTGAAACTAATACTACATTGTGAATCAACTATACTTCTAAAGAAAAAGTTAAGAAAAATTGTGACTAAATCGCTGACTCACCTTTTCCCACTAGTACCTGTGATCATGAAGCTCAAATTAAATAAATCACCCAGGAACTATTGCCCACACCAGCCTAAGTTCAGAGCATGTGCTGAAGGGTGGGCCATGTTTCTTGCAGATTTATTCGCTTTTGCCAAATGATAGGTACAGCACCATTTGGTTACCTCCAGAATGCAATAGACTCCATTTTTTGAAAAGATAAACACTAGAACTCCTTACTAAAACCTACTACTTAAAACACATTCCATTAAAAACATTGGCCAATTTACTCCTTGTAACTATGAGTTTCTCAAGCTAATATTTCAGATGAGGAAGAAGTGAGGTTTAGCCATTGCTATTCTATAGAGATGTATTCGTTTCGTTTCATACAGAATTCTATGAGGGCTAACATAGAACTATTTTTTACTGACCTTTAATCAGCTTTTGGTTGTGAACAAAAAGTTGGTTAAATCAATCCAAAATATCTTTCTCTCTCCCCAACAGTCAATTACTGATGCTTGTACAGAATCTGAAAAATAATATTCCACAAGAATCAAAGTGAGTAGGGGTGCCCCTTAATCAAACAGGCAAGCTTTTCCAGTGAGATAAAGTGTGGGCTCTGTCCTCACTTCCCTTCGTTTTAATTAGTTTCTTATCATCTGATAACACATTGGGATGAACATCCTTTTATATAAAGCTGCTGTGTTTCCAATACTGTGATCTAGGAGAGCTCTTAGTAGAAAGCCTGATACGCCGTCTAATTATTACAGAAGGGAAGAACTACAGATTGGATCTACTAACATGAAAAACAGGTTTGCAGAGAGCAACTGATTTTTAATTAGTTCTTATTTAATAATTTCACATAGCAAGTCACCTCGCTCAATGCTCTTGGTACGTGTTTTTCATGAAGGAAATAGTAGGAAATAACATACCTCAAAATTAGGCATTCCAGGAGTGATATTTTAAAATGGTGGAACAGTCATTTGGAATCAGTTGGCCGTGAGATGTTCTGGGTTAAGCAATTTTGGCCATCCTGTTTAGAGCCTTCTGGAATACAGATTGCATTTTAGTCTGTGGGGGTAAGGCAGAGGGATGCAGATATGATGATGAATAAAAACTCAACCTTCTTCCCATATGTTGCCTGAATCCCCTCTCAGAATGGAGGTGAGATGTACATCCTTATTAGGCTTCTCAAATTTCACAAAAGAATGTCAACCGATCCTCTAGCTCAGCTGCAAGTTTAAGTAGCAAGAGCAAAGCACCCACGCCAGGTAACTGTCAAGGATTACAAATTTGAATCCTCTTGTGCTCTTTTCAAACTCTTAGTCAAGAGAAAAATATTTATAAAGAAGGGCTTGGAGGATAAACAATCTATTAAGTCCTCCAAATAAGAGCTTCCCAATTTCTCTTCGATAGTACAAGTTGCATTTATTAAAAACGAGGACATTGCTGTTTGACAGCTGGTACAGCACTTGTACTTACCGGTCTGAGTGGATGGCGGCCGCATTTGAAGATGAGATTCTTTTCCATGTCCCAGGGTCATGTGGAGCCTCTCACCCACCGTCACGCCATGAGGGTAACTGTACTTCTAGTGTCTGCTGTCAAAGAGAGAAGGAGAAAATAAGCCTCTGTGAATCCTGCACTAAATTTAAATGAAATGTATTTTATAATCATAATAGTATCTATACATAGTTCAACACTTTTAATACATCAATGAGTGAGGTAATTATTTCTGGAATAAATATATAGGTATTACTTCTGGAACCTTGGCAAAGTTTCAAGTTTCCCCAGGGATTTGTTGTGCAAAAGTCAGAAGTCACAGAGAAACCTAAGTAAATTATGCTGTGTAACAAATCTGCTGAGGGCATTGTGTCACCTGGTTTATTATACCATGCAATGCCAGACCCCTTCAGTGAGACTTTTGGCTTTATTTATGAAAAGCTATTGCTTTTCTTCTTGGCAAGTAGTTTGATTTTATCCTTGGGAAGCAGCGTCATATGATGGACTAGAAAAATTCACTGTTGAAAAATTTGGAGGCAGATGTGCCACTTTCCTCTGATCAACAAATAGTACTTCATGATAGATATCTTATATCAGCCTCAATTCATTACTGTTGTATTCTCTTGCTTTCTCTTTATCATCTTTCTCTAATTTGTTGTCTTTATCTTTTGAAGATATGATACATGTACTGATTTTTGAAAATAGCTGGATATCAACAAATGAAATTAAATGGCTACCATCTATAGGCTGGCAAGTTGCATAAGCAAAAGGACAGAGGTACGTATTTGTTGATTCCTTGTGTAAGATCTGTGGCCATTTGAATGTTGTGTTAAGATTTCTCTGCAAATCTTATAAGCTCCTGCTTCCCTTACAGCTGGGTAGGCGTGCTCCAGCTGGGAAAATCACTGGAGGGAGAGGCAAGTCTGAGCTTTAATTCTTAGCTTTGGCATTAACTAACAGTATTATCTTGATCAAGGCTTTTGGGCACTGGTGCTTTTATTTTAAATCGCAAGTGCTGATCAGCTCAGAAATCAGAACTCAGTACTTTTCAGGGGTGCAAAGAACTCTGTAAGACAAAGGTAGATGTGGTTACAGCAGGGACTGGAGAGCACCTGTCCTACCTGAGGCATCGCTGCCTTTTAAATCCTCTGTGCCAGCTGAGTGGAGGGGGTCAGATTTGCCATCAGGTGTTTTTTTCATTTTATAAGCCCGGGTCCTGGTGATCCTGCAGGTCCCCGCTGTTCTGACAATCCACGGTGATAACTCCATTGTTCCGCGCCTTCCACCTCTTTCCGACTGGGCAAGTGTGAACGAAATGACATCCAGAGTGGGAGCTGAAGTGAGGGGGTTGCAGTCAGGGAGACAGGAGAAAGCTGTTAAGAATTCATTGACCGCCTCCAGCAACCGGGCAGAGCTGCAGCTGTTGGGGGAACAGCTATACCTAACAGGACCCCCCTGACAGGCTGCTGGGAGGATGGGCTATCCTCTCTGAGTTTGACTTTGCACTGACCATGACTCTAAGAAGCAGAATCACAAATAGTGGCAGGCGATAATAACTCTGTTTCCCTTTCCTCCCTCCCCTGCGCCCCTAGGCATGCAGCCTTCTCTCTGCTCCTTTTAACAGCTTTCTCATTATATTCTACCCCTCACTCAAGTGCAGTTCAAATGCCAGCTCTTCCTCGAAGCCCTCCTGTGTCTCTTCAGCCGGAATTCTCTGTGCTCTAGCTGTGTTTGGTTTGGATTTCTCCCAGGGCAGACTGCATCCTCCCGGGTGCTGGTGTTATTTCACAGTCTGGTTTCCCCTGCTAAATCTTACTTGCGAGGAGGGAGCACAACCTTCCTGCTTTTCTCTCTCCCTCCTGGGGCCTAGAACACTGTCTTGTCCAAAGTAGGTGTTCAGGAAAAAAGTACCAAAGCCCCGCGTTGAGGCTCCGCAGGCTCGGTCTGGGCTGCTGGATCTATCAGCTGTGTGACTTTGGATGAATTAGCAACCTCTCCAAGCCTCCGTGTTTGTCATATAATTCTAAACACAAACACACTTAAGTAATAATAAACCTATGCACAGTTCTAAGCATAATAATACCTGGTGCCTGAAAAGATGTTAAGTGCTAAAAGCAGTGTTGAATTCTATGTGCACTGTAGCCGTGTTCCTTTTTTCACTATATGAAGAATGAGTTTATGTGTGTTGATGAAAAATAGGACTTTGCAGACAATGGCTTTATGATGGACCAGAAGTATAATGACTGAACTTGGAAAACAGGGATTCTGGATCTTAGATTTGGAGGAACAGGGAGAAAAGGTGACTGATGTTAGAACTAATTATGAGAAGGCTTGAGGTAAATAGAATAAATTTAAGTAAGATGAGTAGTTGTACTGGCTGTCCAGAATGACAAATTTGTTTAAAAAAAAAGAAGCGCGTCAGAAGGAAAGATTAGGCAAAAACTTAAGAAAAAATTCAAAGGGAAAATCTTCTTGTGGGCTCTGTCCTAGGACTAGGGTGCATGTGTTGGGTGGAGAGGGAACACAGAACTACATATGGATACCTGAGGTTAGAACAATTTACTTAGAGGCCCGAGGCTGTGCCTGGGACAGGAGACTAACACCAGGTCTCACCAGAAAAGGCCAGGCATCCTCAAAGCTCAGGGAAGAGGGATCCTGTCTTCCCTGAGAGTGAGAAAGCCTCAAACTGAAAAGTCCTACTCACCTGTAAAAACATGCCAAATGCAGTTTGCTGAGAGCTATGGACTGGTAATTTCCTTCTTTTCCTAGAGCTGGGAATTTCAAAGTTCTTTATAATTTTTCCAAGTTGGTCTTTATTTCTAAAGCACCTGTGAAATGAATGAACCAATTTGGTAATCATGGAAGGATATGGGAGTGGATGGACTTGCATACGAAACCAAATCATTAGGAGATTGCTTGCCGAGCATGGGATCAAACTATCCTATTTTATTAATTCTAAGACATGTATTATCACATTCTAGTATCTCAAAACTATGATATATATTAGACAACAGTGTCTCATAATCATGTTGGTCAGGCAGTAACTGAGATGTGGCTTGTTGAAATCTGCATATGCAATCAGAAGAGCCAGCATCAAAACGTGCAAAATGGGTCAGCACCTTGGGAGAAAAATCTGGAGACAAATGTAAATAACTCTTTTTAAGAAATGTGAATTCCCCAGGACATTGATGGCACAGGGGATGGAAAAGAACATCAGTGGAAATGCTGGAGAGGGTGTGGAGAAAAGGGAACCCTCCCGCACTATTGGTGGGAATGTAGTTTGGTGCAGCCATTATGGAAAACAGTATGGAGATTCCTCAAAAAACTAAAAGTAGACTTACCATATGATCCAGCAATCCCACTCCTGGGCATATATATCCAGAGGGAACCTTAATTCAAAGAGATACATGCACCTCAGTGTTCATAGCAGCACTGTTTACAATAGCTAAGACATGGAAGCAACCTAAATGTCCATTGACAGATAACTGGATAAAGAAGTTGTGGTATATTTATACAACGGAATACTACTCAGCCATAAAGAAGAATAAAACAGTGCCATTGGCAGCAGCATGGATGGACCTGGAGATCATCATACTAAGTGAAGTAAGTCAGACTGAGAAAGTAAAGTACTGTATCACTTATATGTGAAATCTTAAAAAAAAAAAGGCACAAATGAACTTATTTACAAAACAGAAACAGTCTCACAGACAGAAAATAAACTTATGGTTACCAGTGGGGAAAAGGGGTGGGAAGGGATAAATTAAGAGTTCAAGATTTATAGATACTAACTGCTGTATATAAAATAGATAACACGGTCCTGTTGTATAGACAGGGAATTATATTCAATATCTTATAGTAATCTATAATAAAAAGAATATGAAAAGGAATATATGTATGTATGATTAAAACTATGTTGTACACCAGAAATTGACACAACATTGTAAACTGAAACTATATGTCCATTAAAGAAGAGCATCAGTGGCCCTTACACAGAAACACAGAAAGTGATTAGGAAGAATCAGGATTGCATCATGAAGAGACTTGAAAAATAATTATTTCAGTTACATTTTTCAGTTGATAGGTGTAGAAGATGAAAATGCCTAAATCAGTTTCTATCAGCTAAGATTCGACAAGAAGCTATTTACACATGAAGTAGGGACGTAGAGGGGTAGTGGGAGAGTGCTGTTACCTGGAACTGGTCACAGCACGGCCTTTGCCACCCCTGGGCCAAAGGGCAGGGGGGGCAAGTAGGAGGCAGAGAGAGCTGTGAGGCAGGCCCTGGGGCGGGGCCTGTAGGGGGAGGAGGGATGCAACCAGCGCAAGCAACCCGGCAGGGAGGGAACTGGGGGAACAACTATAACAACAACAACAGTAATAATACTAATATATAATAACCTTTCTCTCCCTCATTCTCTCATCTCTTGCAGGGGCTCCCCATTGGTCAGACCCAGCTGGAAGTCAGAGGTAAGAGGATCCATTTATGTAACTTACCAGATCTCAAGCTTTTTGGTTTCAGAACTCCATTACACTCTTAGCCGTTCTTTGGGGTCCTCAGTACTTTTTGTTTATGGAGCTTGTATCTATTAATATTTACCATATTAGAAAGGAAATCTAAGAAACTAAAATAATTATTCAATTAATAATAAACCCATTGCATGTTAATTAAGTTAATGAAAAATAACTACATGTTTCAAAAATACTAGGGGGCATTGTTTTACACTTTGGAAAATTACTTTATAATATTTAGCTTAATTGAAGACAACTGGATTTTCATAGTGACTTCTGCATTCAAAATGTGATATATTATTTTAGTTGAAGAAAATCTAACCTCAGAGACATGTAGTTGGGAAAGTAAGGGGTCTATTAGGTATCTTTTCAAAGATTCATGGATTTTCTTTAATAATGCAATAAAGATCAACAAGTAGTTTCTCAAAGATTAGTGGAATCTGGAAATTATATCAAATTTTTTTGAACTTGATTACATTAAAACCCATTTGTTTCATCTTATACCTTTTACCCATACATGATTTTGTAGTTTTGTGCCTTGCTCATTTGGAAAATACTGGTTTAGTGAATTATGCAGATCTACCACATATTCACATGTTGGAATACACAGTATCAAAAAAATTTTACATTTGTTAATAATATCAACACTAGTCTCATCTGAAAAATCCTTAAGCTTTGGGAAATAGTCAATCCCACTATAGCTGATATAAATTTCAAAAATTCTGATGTTGGTTTGAAGGCTCAAATTTTATCATTGGCAACAAATACAATGGTTTTCCCTGAAGGGACAGATGCATTTATGTCATTTGTGGGAAAATACTGGCCAAACACCAATTCTGAATCACCTCAGATGATTTTTCAGCCTTATTTCTAAATGGTGTTCCATGAGAAAAGCAGATATTCAGCCTGCAGTTCAAATAACCCTGACAGTGCCTTTCCTGGAGACAGCAGGCACGCTTTGGTGTGCAGCAGAGGTATGCTTTATGCATGCTCCCACTTCATTACATGGAATATCAAAAAGACCTGGTTGCAAAAGACATGAGGTTGAATGAAGTTAATACTGTTTTGTCATGGACATTCTTAATTGAAACTGGCATTTTTAAAGTTGAGAGTGCTTGGTTAGTGAAGAACACAGTGACTGCCAGTACAGGTTGGTGCCACTGTCTTGATTCCTGCTAAGGCTGCAGCAGATTTATCCACCTTTGTTTCTGCACCATCAGTTCGAATGCCAACACAATGAAACAAGGCAAGAGATGTCTTATTCTTATAAAAACAGTTTTGACCTGTGTACCTCCTGGAAAAGTCTTGAGGAAACCCAGGGGCTTGGGGACCATACCTTGAGAACTGCTGAGGTGGCCCATCCAGATCACCCATCAGGGTCAGAATGCAGCATGGAGGAAGGTGGAGAGTTGACTTTGAGGGTGGGCGATAGGAAGACATACAAAATAAAGCCTAAATCAGCACTTTGGTATTTGTTTATATTTATACAAAAGCAATCATAAGATTACTTGATCCTTGGTTTCTAAGAGCTAGCACTCTAGCAGAAGGGATAAGTCAAGTGTACGAGAAACAACAGAAACTCGAGTGGATCATATCAAGATGGCGGAGTAGGAGGACAAGGAGTTCACCTCCCTGTACAAACACATCACAAATAAATCCACTTGTGGAATAATTCTTACAGAAAACCAACTAGTCATTAGCATAAGATCCCTACTACACTGGGTAGGACAGAAAAATAAAGGTATCAGGACAGGACTGGTGGCCCTGGGAGGGTCCATACAGGCATGACGACACCCTGCAGGCTGAGAGGTGTGCCGTGATAGGTAGAGGGGCTGGAGGAGTCGACTTTGCTCAGGAGGACTGCACACAGGCTGGCTTGCTAGCAGTCAGTGCAGAGAGACCAGTGCTGATGGCTGCCACCTTACTGTACTTCGCAGCCTGAAATGCGAGCCACGCCCACATGCAGGACAGGGAGCAGCTCCAGACTTTACACGCGCTTGCTCACCCAGGGCAGGGCTGACACTGGAGCCCGTTCTCAGCCCTCCCACAGTGGGGGCGGGCCGGGGGATGGGTTCAGCAACCTCAGACGTTGTCGGCGTGCACCAGGTGGCAGATGGCGTCACAGAACCACACGCCCCAGGGGACAGCGCCTTGGGAGGAGTACCAGTGGTTACTTTCCCTGGGGGAGTCCTCTAGTTTCCTATACCTCACACCATAGTTTGGAGCTGGATCTGGGGTGAACAGGTCCTGGGAAAGAGGCAAGGTAATATAGAGGCAGCTCAGGTCCCAAGTAGCAGTACAGTCACCTCAATTCCTGCAGCCACAAGACCCTGGCCCCCAGTGCCAGCCTAGCTCTAGGTCTGGAATGAACATAATGGAGGAAGGGACATGACCTTGCGCTGCTTCTGGGAAGAATGGCAGAAGCCTGCATCGGTGGTGCATAGGTTCCCTGTGACCACACAGGCCTCCCTTGCTTCAGAACTAACCTCCTTGGGGACAGAGCATACTACACTACATATGTACACATACATACTACACTTAAGGGCAACAGAGCCTTATCAAACCCAACCCTCAGGGCTTCTACTCCAGCAACCTGGGAGCAGAACCTGACACTGACAGAGTTGTGACAGTCACGGAGCAAAGAGGCTGCCCCATCCAGCATGCAAACTCTGGTCATCACAACACCAGTCACACCCTGTCAGGGGATAATGGCCACGTGCTCTGAGGAGGCTGGAAGCTGGCGTCCAGACCTAAAACAGCCCTCACGCCAAAAATACTGGACTCACACAGGCTGCACAGGGACGCTTCTACATAATAACAGCCCTTCAAGAGCACTGTAGATATTTTTCCTAAATTCCTAAAGTTAACTGAAAAAGCAGAGGAACTACTCCCAGTCAGAAGAACAATAGAAATCCTGTGAACGAAAAATGAAACAGACCTAGCCAGTGTACTAAATGGAGTTCAAAGAGGAGGTAATAAAAATGCTAAAGGAATCAAGGAAGATTATAAAATGCAGGTCATTGCAACAAGGAACTAGAAACTATATAGAGGAACCAAACATAATTAGCTCAATTGCTGAGATAAAAACTGAAATAGAAGCAGTGAATTTGAAGACTAAATGCAGAAGAATGAACAAGTGATATATGGAGGATAGAATAATGGAAACTACCCAATCAGAAAAGCAAAGAATGAAATGGAAAAAAAAATGATAGCAACATATGTGATATATGTGATAATATAAAGCACGCCGACCTACACATAATAGGAATTCCAGAAGAGAGAAAGGGGGATCTAAAATGTATGTGAAGAAATTATGGCTAAAAGGTTCCCAAACCTAAAGAAGAAAAGAGATATCTAGGTACAGGAAATAGAGGGTCCCAAAAAGATGACCTCAGGCAGACCTACACCAAAACATATCATAATTAAAATGGCAAAAGTTAGGATTCTAAACGTAGCGAGAGAAAAAGTGTCAGTTACAAGGGAATCCCTGTACGGCTATCAGTTGATTTCTCTGCAGAAACTTTTCAGGCCAGAAGGGAGTGACGTGACGTCCTGAAAGGGAAAAATCTGCAACTTAGGATACTCTGCCCAGCAAGATTAGCGTTTAGAATACAAGGAGAGGTAGAGAATTTCTCAGACAAGTAAAAACTAAAAGATTACAGCAATGACAAACCTAATCTAAAAGAAATACTGAAAGGCCTTCTCTAAATAGAAAAGCAAGTATCCACAGGGAAAGGAAAATCAAATAGATAAAAGGACTGAAGACCACTTAAATAAGCCAGTATGCAGATTAAAAAACAATCGAATTTGTAACAGCAAATATAACCACAAAAAGATAAACATGAAGATGTAAAATAGGACATCAAATTCATAAAGTATGCAGGAGGGGAGTAAGAAAATGCACATCTTCACAATGTTTTTTAACTTATAGTCAGTCTAAAAGCAAGTAGATACAGTTATGGGTTAACATACTTGAAAATCAGAGTATCCATAAATCAGAAACATACAGTCCATTCACAAAAACCAAAAAGAAATGAATTCAAGCATAATACAAAAGAAAATCATAAAGCCACAAAAGGGAGAAGGAAGAAGAAATGAACAAAGAAGAACTATAAAATCAACTGGAAAACAAGATTTAAAATGGTAATAAACATATACTTATCAATAATAACCTTAATATCAATGGATTAAATACTCCAATCAAAAACATACAGTGGCAGATTAGATAAAAAATAAGAACCTATAATATACTGCCTACAAGAGACACACTTTTGGGTGAAGTACACACATATAAACTTAGGTGATGGAAAAAGGTATTTTATGAAAATGGAAATGACTTAATAAAGCAGGATTAGCAATACTCCTAACAGATAAAATAGACTTTAAAACAAGTTCCATAAGGAAGAACAAAGGATGACACTATATATAATGATAGAAGGATCAATACAAGAAGAGGATATTATACTTATGAACATATATACACCCAATAAAGGAGCGCCTACAAAGGTACAGTAATCAAAACAGTGTGTTACTGGCACAGAAACAGACATATAAATGAATGGAACAGAATAGAGAGCCCAGAAATAAAACCACACACCTGTGGTCAAGCAATCTATACCAAAGGAGGCAAGAAAATACAATGGAAAAAAGACAGTGTCATCAGCAAGTAGTTTGGGAAAGCTGGACAGCAGCATGTAAATCAGTGAAGTTAGAATACTTCCTCACACCATAAACAAAATTAAACTCAGAATGGTTTAATGACCTAACTATAAAACTCCTAGAAGAGAACACAGGCAAAACATTCTCAGACACGAATCATAGCAGTATTTTTTTTAGATTAGTCTCCCAAGGCAAAAGAATTAAGAGCAAAAATCGACAAATGGGACCTAATCAAACTTAAAAGCTTTTTCACAACAAAGGAAAACAAACAAAACGAAAGAACCACCTATGGAATGAGA